CTCACCTGAGTTGTCTTGATTCACAGTCTCCTTTTGGATTTATTTTTATTATTTTTAAGTTCTCTCTCTCTCTCTCTCTCTCTCTCTCTCTCTCTCTCTCTCTCTCTCTCTCTCTCTCTCTTTCTCTCTCCTCTTTCTCTCTCTGGAAAGGGGGGTGAACATGAGTGTGAGTACACACAAAGGCTAGAAGCATTGGATCCCCCTAGGTCTGGACTTACAGGTAGTTGTGAGCAACCCAATGTAAGTTCTGAGATCACTTTGGGTCCTCTGCAAGAACAGTACTTGCTTTTAACCACTGAGCTGTCTCTCCAGCCCTTACTCATGGTCTCTTGTCCACTGAATCTACCACCATAGACACAAAGACTTGAAAGACCAATGGATTACCTGATAGACCAAAGCATTCTTTACTACAATCTTCAACTATTTTTTTCCTGACTAAACATTCTTTCCACTTCCTATGGAATCACATCTTATTCCTTAATTTTTGCTATAAAAAAAAAAAACCCAGGGAACAGAAGAGATAGCTCAGTGGTTAAGAGTGCTCTTGTGGAGGATCTGACTTCAGTTCCCAGCACCCCCATGGGGCTCACAACCATCTATAATTCCAATTCCAGAGTCTGATGCTCTCTTCTGACATCTACAGGCACCAGGCAAACACATAGTCCACATGCATACATACAGGCAAACATTCATAGAAACAAAATACTAATAATAAATATAAAGGAAACCTCAGTGCTCTGCTCCCTGCCTCGATTTTACTCAGAGGTAAAGGGACTACTTGGCTGAGCCCTGGAACAAAGAGTCTCATGTTATATTTTTGAAAAGCTGTGCATATGCTTGGAATGGATAAATGCCCTAATAAGGTGACTCAGATGTCTGATATGAAATGAGTCCTGAGGGGAAGATGAGAAGTGGTCAGATGGAGGGAAATCATACAGATACTGACGTGAGAACTCACTGATGGAAACAATGAGTGGGTGTACTGAGGCTGCCGTGATTTACTTGACATGCTACTGTCCACTTGAGGAAAGCAGAGCTCAGGCATAAAAAGGCTTAATGGCGGCCGGGCGGTGGTGGCGCACGCCTTTAATCCCAGCACTCGGGAGGCAGAGGCAGGCGGATCTCTGTGAGTTCGAGGCCAGCCTGGTCTCCAAAGCGAGTACCAGGAAAGGCGCAAAGCTACACAGAGAAACCCTGTCTCGAAAAACCAAAAAAAAAAAGGCTTAATGGGAAAGGCTTGCAGGGAAAAAGCAATACCTTTCTCCACTGTTATTGGTTTTTTTTTTTTTTTAAAAAAAAGATCTATTTTGTTATGTATTATGCATGTGTAGTTGAATGCCTGTGTAAAGTTACATGAACCACATGCATGCAGTTGCCCACAGAGGTGAGAGGGTGTTGGGTTCTCTGAAACTGGAGTTACAGGTGGCCATTTCTCTAGTACCTATCGTTTTTTATTAAATGTATTATATTATTTATCACATGTGTGTGCATGTGCACACACATTCATGCATGCACAAGTGTGTGCACCTGTGGGAGTTTATGTGTACCATGGGCATGTAGGTACCTGAAGAAGCCAAAAAAAGGGGGGGGCATCAGATCCCCTGGAGCTGGAGGTACAAATGGCTGTGAGCCTCCCAGTATGGGTGCTGGGAACTGAATTCAGGTTCTCTGCAAGAGTAATACAGGCTGGAAACTGCTGAGTCATCTGTCTACCTCCTCACTACTCTGAGACTTGAAACGCCCTCCAAAGACCCATGAGTTTAAGTCTAAGTCTTTGCCTTAAGAAAGTCATTTCTCATCATGGATTTTGCAGGCAAATGGATGGAACTAGAAAATATCATCCTGAGTGAGGTAACCCAGACTCAGAAGGACAAACATAGTATGTACTCACTCATGAGTGCGTAATAGATGTAAAGCAAAGGATAACCAGACTACAGCCCACAGCTCCAGAGAAACTAGCTAAGAAGGAGACCCAAAGAGGGATGCATGGATCCCCCTAGGAAGGGCAAATAGATGAGACCTCCTAGAGTAAACCGGGCATGAGGGGATGGCAATGGAGGGTAGGGGATGGAGGATGAGAACATAAGGGAATGGGATGGTCAAGCTGGAACAGGGATGGAGTGGGAGAGCAATGAAAGAGATACCATGATAGAGGGAGACATCACGGGGATAGGGAGAAACCGGGTGCTAGGGAAGTTCCCAGGAATCCCCAAGGATGACCCCAGTTTAGACTACTAGCAATAGTAGTGGAGAGGGTGCCTGAGCTGACTTACCCCAGTAATCAGATTGGTGAATACCCTAAATGTCATCATAGAGCCTTTCTCCAGCAACTGATGAAAGCAGATGCAGAGATCCACAACCAAACATCAGGCCAAGCTCCAGGAGTCCAGTCAAGGAGAGGGAAGAGGGATTCTATGAGCAAGGGGCATCAAGATCATGATGGGGAAACGTATAGAGACAACCAAACCAAACTAGTGGGAACTCATGAAATTTAGATCAACACCTGTGGAGCCTCCATGGGACTGGACTAGGCCCTCTGCATAAGGGAGACAGTTTTATAGCTTGATCTGCTTAAGGGGCCCCCACGCAGTACGATCAGGATCCATCCCTGGTGATGAGTGGGCTTTTTGGAAACCACTACCTATGGTGGAACACCTCGTGCAGCCTTGAGTCAGTGGGAGGGGCTTGGACCTGCCTCTACTGAATGTACCAGGCTCTGCTGACTCCTCATGGAAAGTCTTACTTACCTTCTTGTAGGAGGGAATGGGGGAATGGGTTGGGAGGGGGAGGCTGAAGGGGCAGGATAGGGGAAGAGGGGGATCTGTGATTGGTATGTAAAATGAATAAAATATTTTTTAATTAAAAAAAAGAAAGTCATTTCTTCTCTCTTTTGCTGGGGCTCTTGCATATCAGAACTCCAAGCTTCCTGACTGTGGAACTCCAGGACTCATGCTGGCAGCCCCTTGGTTCTCATGCCTTAGGCCTTGGACAGAGTTATACTATGAGATCTCTCAGTTCTGAGACCATCAGTTCTGATTAGGACACATCGTTAGGATCCCAGGTCCTCCAACTACAGATAGCCTATTGCAGGACTTCCCCTTCCCCAAGATAACACATGCAATTCCCCAATAAATCCCAAATATACACAGATTATATCCTATTGGTTCTATGTCTCTTGAAAACTCTCCCACAGGCATAAAACAATCTCCAGAGTGTGGAATAGGGGTAGGCCTCCTCCTGAGGGTGGGCCTGGGCACACTGATCAACTTATAAGAGGCAGAATGAGGTCTCTATGATTTGCAAGCATTTTCCTTTAAAGAAAAAAAAATTGCCTTCAGACCAAAATATAGGATTCTGTGGAAATGAATATAAACTTTGTGTGGGTATATTTCAAATGGCTGGCAGTAGAGAAAACAGAAAGAAAAAAATAAGAACAGCATGTATTTGACGTAGCAAAGGACAATCTAATCCTCCTTTTTAATAACCCCCATCTATTCTGCATTCTTTTGGAAGAACGCAATAGAAGAAAAAAAAAACAAGGCCTTATTACATTATGACTATGACTAGCACAATTCAAAGTGATCAGGGCAGAATGCTTGCCAGGCATTACAAACATTTAAAACTATGCGTTTGTGCCAAGTGAAAGAGGCTCATTCTATTCTTTCCCAGCCTCATAAGAAAATATGCACTTGCTTAAAGGGGTCATTCAGCTGCCAAGGAAATAATAACCTCAGGTTTTCAGAATAAATAACACTTTAGTCCGTGTTCCAATTCACAGTATCAAGATCAGCTATGTATGCCCTATGTCTGCAGAAGAACTCATAGCTAGCGCTTGCACACAAGGTCTAATTTACCGATGTAATAAAGCAGGAGTGGGTGCTTCAAAGTCTGCTTTGCAGGTGGTAAAGACATGAGGCAGAAGGGTGTCAGTATTGTTCAAGGTCACACAGACCCTCCCACTCCTAGTGCACATAATTGCCTGCTCTAGCAGGAATCCAAACAATAAAATAAAATAGCTCTTTAGTCTGGAACCAATCACTTGCCGGCCCTTCACAACATATTTCTGTTTTCTTTCTGCTGGAGTAATTATTTGTATTTATAAGGTAATTTTATTTCCTTATCAATCACGGCTCTCACACACATTTAAGAATTTCCTTGAAATGATATTCCACTGCCATAGAGAAAAAAAATTGATTGTGATATGTTTGAAAGAATTAGGTGCCCAATTTAAAAAGAAATTATTCTCATTGACATCTTATTTGGCAGGAAGCTGGGAGACAGGGCCCTGGGCTGTAGGAACACAGTCCTAGTAAAGACAGGCAAGGGAAGAGCTTCAAGCCAGGAGTCGGCTGCGATACTAAGGCAGGTCCTACCTGTGCTGGGGAGTCCTGAGTTCCTGTCTAAGTCCCAAGCTCCTCATTGCCTACCTGTGCTGGAAAGTCCTGAGTTCCTGAGTCCCATGCTCCTCACTGCCTACCTGTGCTGGAAAGTCCTGAGTTCCTAAGTCCCAAGCTCCTCACTCCTACCTGTGCTGGCAAGTCCTGAGTTCCTAAGTCCCAAGCTCCTCACTGCTTACCTGTGCTGGAGAGTCCTGAGTTTATGCATGTTCCTGTCTGAGTCCCAAGCTCCTCAGGATACAAGTGCCTGGGCCTTCAGATCAGGGTGATTAGTTCTGCTGAATTTTCAGGAGAAAGAGTAAATAAAGTTGTCTATAAGGGGTGTCCAAATTTTTTAGTGCTAATACCATTTTTTAATTCATTTTCAGGTCATCCTGGGCCAAACCCAACCCAAATGCAGGTCAAACCTACAGGCCATCAGTATGCATAACTTTTGTATAACATCAAGTCCTTGATTCCCACTGTGGTTGGCGCTTTTGTTTCCAGGCTGGGAAAACAAGCTATTGGCTTCTCCCTACGGGATGTCTGCTGGGTGGATAAGCCTTGAACAGTGACAGAACTGGAGAGTCCCCGTTGGAACTCCACAGGGTAGGTGACTGACTGCTTTGTCTCCTGTGACCTTAACGCCTTAATCCACTGATCCTAACGCGGTTCCACTCCTTAATATGGGGCGTGGATGAAGCACTCTAAGGAGGCCCTGACATTCTCATCATCGAGGTGTCTTTTAAGCCTGTGGTTTTAGGATGACCTCTTTCAGCATGGTACCATCAGACTCCTGTTCAGCTGGTTGCAGCAAGCTTCAGATGACCTCCTCTTACCCTCTTGTCACCTCAGTGACAGAAGTGCCAAAGATAAGGCATGCAAACCAGAAACACAAGGGTCTAGAGCCAGCAGTGAGAAGAGTGGACAAGCAAGTGACAGGGCCATAAACTAACTCACTCTTTCAACTTAGACTTAAGTGAACAAACCTCTTCCGTTGGGCTTGATCAGCCACTCGATGACTCCACCCACGGCCACTGCTGCCTCCTTCATCCACTAGTGGGCCAGTTTCACAGGCCCACGCTCTGTCTTCAATTTCTTAATTTTCTCTTGAGCCTATCTTTCCTCTAAGTGAAGTCTGCTGGGAAAACTGAATATGCACATAAGCAGAAAAGTCATGTGGACAAAAAGAGAAAACTCTGCATTTTTGTACCTTTAAGAGGGGAGAGAAATACTTTCTGTTATATATGCAAGCTAGGGAGACCCATTAGGTAAGAAGCTATTCAAGATGGTTTTCCTTGTTAGCCTAGGCTAGCCTTCAACTCCCTATGTAGCTGATGATTACCTAGAATTTCCGATCGACCTGCCTTTACCACCCAAGTGTTGTTATTACAGGCATGGGCCATGTCACCCAGTTTTGTTCATGGCAATTCTCCAGTTTTTCTACAGACATCAATTTGCTGTCTTAAAATTTAATCCAGCTCTGGCAGAGTTGGAGCCTTGGTGCCAACCCTACAGGGGAAGGCCAGACTTGCCAGACTGCCCCTGTTTCAGGTCCCCAACACAACAAGGTGGACTTCCCTTTTGACTTACGACTGAGGGAAGCCAGGGCAAGAACTCAAGGCAGCAACCTGAAAAAAAAAAAAAAAAGAACTCGAAGCAGAAGCCATGGAGGACCACAGCTTGCTGACTTCCTTCCCCTAGCTTTTCCTGCTTGCTTTCTTACACAGCTCAGGCCCGCCTGCCTAGGGATGGCACTGTTTACAATGGGCTGGGCCCTTCTGTATCAATTAGCAATTAAGAAAATGCCTCACAGACATGGCCACAGGCCAATCTGATGGAGGCAGTTTTTCAGTCGAGGTTCCTCTTCCCAGGTGACTGTAGGGTTGTGCCAACTTGACAGCTGAAGCTAATTATGACACTTACTATCACCGGTTTATGATAAAGGGCACAGCTCCAAAGCAAACACACAGAGGAGATTATGGGGCAGAGTCAGGGAGGGTGTTTTTCAGGTGCTCGCGGAGGTTTCTAGTGCACCACCACTTAGGTTAAGCCCTCCTGGAGTTGTCTGCTATGCTTTGGAAGTGTCCCTCAAAGGCCCATGTGTCGAAACTCGATCACTAACTGCTGGCACTATTGGCAGGTGACTGACCCCATCGCAAGTGAGGCCTAGTAGAGGAAGTGTGACCTAGGCCAACCTCTGCTTTCTCTCTGCTTCTTGGCTTTTGTGAGGCAAGTGTCTTTGTTCCACAATGTGCTGCACACCATGACATGAGACAGGACCAGGAGCAATGAGCCCAACTAAGCAAAGACCGAAACCTCTGTGTCGATAGCCCAAAGTAAACTCTCTCTTTTTCACTTATCTCAGGTACTCATTCATGTGTGGAAAGCCAAGATCAATTACACACGCTATGTCAGAAGAGCTCAGGGCAACCAGCTCCCAGGACCCAAGATTTTCCCACTCGCATCAACCCTGGTAGGGTCAAGAGGGGTTTGTTACACATAAGGAAAGATGTTCCTCTCAACTCTGCCTCCTCGGGGAATCTCAGGGGTCTTCGAAGCTGCGTGCCAAGAACCAGGAGCTATTTTTTGCGGCTGTTACAGCTCTAACAGTTTTCTTGTCCCCGTCAGCAGGAGGCCCAGCATTTTCATTTCACAGTGAACCTTACAAATTAGAAATCATATGTAACCTACAGAAATTGTGGCTTTGGTGGGCCACAGGAGAGGTGTCCAGCCTTCCTAAACCCAAACCACAACCCTTCGACTGTACTATGATGGATACCATCCTCACTCAGTAGGTAAGCTTGCTCCAACGCCTTTTGAAACCCGGGGTCCTGTGCAATGCTCTAACCTTACCAAGTGTCGGGGGACTCTGAGGGCAGTATGCCTTCGTCTTTGCCTCCTCTTCTTCCACTTGTGATCTCTCTCTGCCCTGAGCAGCAACATTACAAGTAAAATGAGGAGCAGAGGAAGGCAGAGGTTTGTGGCAGAGAGAGAAAGGCTGTGCAGTGAGAAACTCCGCCCTTCAGGATTCAGGTTCCTCACGTTGGCTGTTGCCCAACGACAGTCATAGCAATTGTTTACTCTGTATGAAACCCTCAGCCTGCTAATGACACATTCATATGGGTGTGGTGTGTATTTTAAGGACTTACAGGGAGACTAAATTTACTTTCCTCGAATTCTCATACTCTCTGTGTGGGAAAGCACCTGTTTTATTTTGATTACATTTTTTGTCTGTTGCTAAACTCTGCCTCTAAGCCACAGATGAGTAAGCAGCATTTCTGGGCTACTGCCTAGGTAGCATCTACCCAACTGGTTGTCTTTATTTTCACCAACCATGATGGAAACATGCCATTTTTGAAAATCCTAATTCAATTATTGCCCCCTCCCCAGTCCCTCAAATACTCTGATCACTGCAGATCTAGCCTTTGAAATAAGCAATTCTCCTGCAGGACCCAAACTACAGGCTGATCCACTAAAAAGCCTTGGGGACTTTGACACCTACCTGAAATGTGTTTGTACAGTTCCCCGTGTGTGTGTGTGTGTGTGTGTGTGTATGTGTGTGTGTGTGTGTGTGTATGCCCATTCATGCATTGTTCTAGAAACAAATATTACTCGAATGCCAAAAAAGAAAAAAAAAAAAGTGCCAGGTACTAGCCAGTGCATTCTCCATTCCTGAAACAATTATAATCTATTCTGCCACCGGGTCGAGAGAGTCAGGGGCAAAAGGCTGTTACAACTTTCAATGCTAAATTGTCCTCATGAATGTTCCAGTTCTCAAAACGCTTAGGAAGAGACTCCCATCTGCTGCCCTGTGGTAGCGGGGAAAGTTAGATTAGCTTTCTCAGCCTATTTGCCCATCAGTAAAGTGAAGCTATTAACACGTTGCAGGGACTGCTGTGAAAATGTAATGAGATAACATTGTATGTGAGTCACCCTCATCCCCAGGTCAGGGCCACCATGGGCTTGATACATGGAAGTCCTTGGCCCTCCCAAGGGAGGTGCTTTCCTGATTACCGGTCCTCACCACCTGTGTTCTCCTGTGATGCTGTGCTCTGCAATTCCCAGCAGTTTTAGCAGCATGACCCTCCAGCCCAGAGATAAGATGCCGTGGAATTGCCTCTGCTACTCGGATCCGTGGTCCCAATTTGATATATTACTAATGCAGCCAGCTGCTATGCCAATGTTAGCAATTCCATCCCCTGCACACCTCCATTCTGTCCCACAGCTGTGAATACAAGTGCCATCCTCTCTGGCCTGGCTGTGAGTCTAGAGTACAAAGCAGCAGAGGATACTGAGGTGAGCTAGCTCTGCAGTTAGGCAGCTCCTGCTGGTCCTTCTCCTGTTTGCCTACAGCCCTACAAGAGTGTTTTCATCCTAGATGGCAGACCCTCCGCTCCAGAGAGAATGGCTGCCTTGCCATGGACCAGGCCTGGCTAAAGCTATTCTGGGAAGGTACATTTCTGGTCTTCCAGGTAGAGGTCTTGGGAAAGCCATGGGGAAATGGATTCTTACATGGCCCAATCTCTTCTTAGCAGACAGCCTCATACTCAATCCCCTTTAAGTGATGCTGCAGGACAAAAACATGCGCAGAGCCCTCCTCTGTGAGAGGGATTTCAACTTGTAGGTGCCCAACCCTAATATCAACATCACATTATCTGAAAACTCGAAGCCTTGGGTTCTGCCCAGGCTTCCTGATTCAGAAGTGCTGGTCTGCTCTGAGGGTCAGAACCAAGGACAATGATTCTATGGTAGCTTCTAACATGCCATCCTGGTCTGCTTGCTCTCTCTCTCTCTCTCTCTCTCTCTCTCTCTCTCCCTCCCTCCCTCCCTCCCTCCCTCCCTCCATCTCTGATTCTAATATTCATCTTCCTTAGGAGTCTCTCCAGCTGTTGTCTAGTTTCATCTGTTTCGTTCTGTGACATGGCCCAACTATGTAGCCCAAGCTGGCTTTGAACTCACACTCATCCTGCCTCAGCCTCCTCAGTGCTAGGATTAAAAGGTTAGAGTACCACGTTCATCTGCTATGTGGTTGAGGCTTTCCAAATGTCCTGATAACTAGAGAATCTCTACTCTAATAAGAAAATCATCCTCTCTCTCTTTGGGAATCAGTAACACATTCTCAAATCTACTTTGTATCCCTTTTCACAGATGCAGGACATTCACTTGTCAAATTCCACCAGGAGCTGGGAACCCACTGAGATTTTCCCAGGAGGCAACTGGTGCCATTCTCTCTGTGGCTCTGGGAAGGTGATTCTATGTTGACTCAGTTCACACACACACACACAAAAAACTAGACACTCAAAGAGTACTCGGGCAGGACCAGCTTAATAAAAGTAGGTGGTGGAATGAGATCAGATGTGCCATCGTCAATTGGCATGCCTCAGAGCATATGTATATTTCCAGTGCTGCTTCAAACCTGTCGTTACAAGTGTGGTGTTAAGCGGGATTGGTTTATACCACGTATCCAATCGCAACTGTATCTACAAAGCACATTAGTGTCTCCAAGTCACTGAGAATTATTCTTACCCATCACTGACCATTTCGAATTCCAGTCTTAACAAGTGTAGGCCTGGCCGCCTCTTACGCCTGGCACAGCCTGGTACCCCTGTTTACTTCACTTTCTCGCTGTCGCTTTACTTCACTGTTGCCTTCCTGCCAAATATGCGTAAGCTGGTACATATTCTCAATAGCATGCTTACATCCTCTCTGTGTGTTTCTCTCTGTCCCTCTGTCTGTGTGTGTGTGTGTATCTGTCTATCTGTCTCTCTGTTTCCCCTACACACACCCCCAATCATACTCTACTGCTCCAGAAGACAGAGGATCTTATAAGTACTGCTCATTCCTATTCCTCCAAACTGAGCTCATGATTCCTTTCAATAGATAGTGACTCTTTGGAGTCCACAGCTTCTCTAACTAGAGGGGAACCCTCAGAACCAGGCCCAGGGCAGATGGCACATATCATCCTCAGGAGCAGTGGCCCCCACACAAGCCTCACCTGAATGAAGCCTCACACAGCATTTCTCCCAGTGCTGCTGCATGGTGTTGCTGATCGTAAGTACCAGCTTTATTCACTCAGTAGTTCATGCGCTGACTCTTGGGTACTTCCTGCATTTCAGGGATACAACAGTACAATTCAGACCTCCCACATTAATGTCTTCTGTGTGTTTTGGGGTTTTGACAGGGACTTGCTCTGTAGCCCAGACTGGCTTTGAACTTGTGATCCTCCTGCCTCTACCTCCGGAGTGCTAGGATTACAGACATGCATTAGCTGGAGTTAGCATTTTCAATAATCATATATAATTTTCAGTTTAGATTTAACTAGGGGTTACTAGACCTCCAAGGAATGACTATATATAGACACAGAGTCACAGTATTGTCTCATATTCTTAGTGTGGTCTACTGATTCCTACTGTGTTACCCTTTGTATTTATTGTAGATTGTTTTATGATTAATGTCTCATGCAATGGGCTTATGAAACCCTTCTGATTTCCCTTAATGTGCAATCCTGATTTAACAAGTGTTTTGCCACTGTAATTGCATAATTATCACTTGAGACATTTTGAGTCTTTTCAGCCTGAGTTCTCTATCTTTTGTTCTATTCTTATTCCAGCATTCCGGGTTTCTTTGGATGCCTGTCCTCTTTTCTACATCCATTCTGCCCCTTGCTTTGTTCTCAGCAGCACCTGACACAGTGCAGAGCAAAGAGCCTAATGTCTGACTGTCTCAGGCCAGAACATTTGCCACTGTGGAATAGCTGGCTGGTCCTGTTTAGCTTACAAAACCTCCCTGAGCCGGGGAAGGTCTGTTGAGACGTGCAACATGGCAGCGCCTTCATAACTGGCCACAGGCTTTCTACAGACAGGTCCGAGTCCTGCAGAAGCACACAACTGATTGACTGGGAAGGGGGAGTGCAGGCACTTGTCAGGTGCTGGCTACATTTCTTCACAGTGGCCTCCTGCACAGTGACTACCCAGCAGACAGACACAACAGTCTTCTATTATGTTCTGCTTGCTTGCCAGGGCCATGTGCAAAGGGCACATACCCACTTCTAAAAAGCTGTACTTTGCTTGACCCGAGACCTAAGTATGGGCATTTCCAAGTTATATTATGACGAAGTCTATAGCTCCATCTGCATCTATCTCATCTCTTTTATGTTCATGTTTCTATTTATATGTATCATAGATACATAAATAAAAAGACATATACAGGAATTCATGAGCACTGTTTGTAACAATTTCTCCAGTAAATAAAATAAAGACATGTTAAAACTGGGTGAAATGTTTAAGTTAGTAGTCCACACCTGTAATCCCAACACTGAGTCCAGATGATCAAGAGCCCATGCAGCCTGAGTCATACAGAAAGATCCTTTCACAAGTAAACAAACACGGGAAGGTCGGGTTTGCCCAGTCAGAAAGAAACAATGGAACAGCCAGGGAGCTACTTGCTTTACTTTGACAGTTGTCCACAGATACATGGTTCTCATCTTCCAACACGTAACTGCTGTTTCTCCTTTGGTACAAGGATAGAAACAATCCATTATAAGATTCCAGGGTCTGCAAGACAAGGAACATGACTGATGCTGACATTTAGACCTGGGAGAATTCCTCCTTTGGGCCTTTATGAATGGATGCTGTGCAAAAGAAGAGATGCCTCTAGCCTGCATTCATGGATTCATTACAGATTTATTGATTTACAGTCTTTCATTCCTTATCTGAAAATATTAAAAATGAAAATAATAACACAGGATTTTCTTTCCTCTAGTCTCTGCATAATCCTCAGCATCTCCCTTTATGCAGTGAAAGGTTTTAACCTGAAAGCATATTTTCCAAATGAACTTGACGAGTCATTTTTTTCAGGTCATGACTTCTTTTTGTGCCTCTGTTAATACTGTCCACATCCATGCCCAGACAGCAAATGTGCTGGCTTGTGATTAGAAGGTTTTGGGGAATAATGCTGGATGAATAAAATAGTCTTTTAGTTTGAATGCATATGGACATCTTTTCATATGTCATTTTAGTAAAATATAAAGTGTATGAATCTTAATATTCATTTTGCATTTGTATACTTTTTGATCTTCATTTAAGTGGATTCTCTCAAGGAACTGCCATTTTCCAAAACATCAGTGCCTCCTGCTATTTCCAATCCCCTTTCTCATTTCTTTTGAATTAATTCAACCCCAGATGTGTGACACACACACACACATACACACACACACACACCACACATGCACTCACACACCTATGTGTACACACACACAAACACACACACACACACACACACACACACACACACACACACACACACACACACAGAATGTCTAGAGTGGGACCTAGTGCCTCACTGTGAGTCAGAAAAAAAATGAAGAATATAAGGGATTTGCTCTTAACGATTGTTAGTGGCTACCATTTAGAGCCGTTAGTGGTTCTTAGCCCCGACAATAAGTAAGGCTGGATCTGATGACCAGAAAATAATCACTGTCCTCTCAGTGTTTACTCTTTCCAAAGCACCTCCAGGACAACACTACTGGTTTTCAACCTTCTGTCTCCTTAGCAGCCTCCTGTGAAGATGCACAGACCTCAGAGTCGGGAGCATACAAGCGCTGGAGCTTCATTTCATGATGGGACTTCCCATCCCATGGCTTAGGAAAGGCTATTTCTGTTGAACAAGTGATTAAGTATTTCCAAATGAAACATTTTTGAAAACGTAAGAGTGATGTTTTTCATCTTGGGCCTCCTTCGCTCAGTTTCCGTGGTTCAGCAGCGCCACCCAGTGTTAAAAACATTTCCGTGAGAAAATTCTCCCCTTTGCCTTGTGAAAGTGAACCTGGGAGTGTCTTTGAGTATCACATGAGAAGAAAATGGGCATCCACAGAATGGATAACAATACGCCTGGGCAGTTCAGAAAAATTCTGACCTAGAATGCCACCAAGATCACCCAGGAAACAAAAGGACTTTCCAGTCCCACCCAATTAATAACAGGGGGCAAGCCAGAACTAGCCCAGTACAAAGTAGTCAGTAGCATCCCGACAGTGAGGGCTATAAAGACAAGATCATGTGGATGACGGGTCAGTCGTGGCTGGACCAGATCTCAGAGATGACATCTTTCACTTTATACATGAACTAAGACTAAGCAAAACTTCACAATATGCACAAGTCCACAGCCAATGACTTTGTAGCTTAGATAAAAGTGTGTACCATTCACCTCCTGGGTCATCATTCTCCTCCAAAATGTCAAAACTCAAGATGACCTAGTGTGACAGTCCATAAAGAAGTATATGGGGAAAGGTAAGAATGAAAACAGCTGGGAGGCAGAGGCAGGAAGATCTCAAGGAGCCAGCCTGGGTAACAGAATCAGATATTGTCACCAAAAAAATGAACAAGAAAAAAAAGGGAGAATATATTTCTCATCTCTATGTCTTTTTTGAAACTCTAATGTTAAAATTCTTAATGTTTGGAAATAACAGAGTTCTATATATAAAATTAATTAGAGATAAAAACCAAGTGCTAGAAATAGCTTGTTATGCTAAAATGAAAGTAGAGGCCGTGGATATGAAGCAAATCAAGAGATGTGCTGGAGACTCTCACAGGCTGGGTCCTTGTTCTGTGATAATCTGTTCTTTGTATAGGAAAGGCCGTCCTTGATCAGGGCCAGAGCTTAGACATTTGCTTTCCCAACAGCAGTTACATTTATCCCACGATGCTTAGAATGTGTTTTGTTTCCTAATGAGTGAAAAACAAGTGTTGTGATGGAACCTAGCAACATGGACATGGATGGAAGTCCTGTTGTTCATCACCTGCACAGTTGGTCAACTTCCTTAGCCATCATGGTTCCTGATGGCTTTAATCTTTAACAGTGTGTGTGTGTGTGTGTGTGTGTGTGTGTGTGTGTGTGTGTGTGTGTGTGTATGAGGTAAAGGAGTCAAATCTCTTTCCACTCTATGAGTTCTAGGTATAGAACTCAAGATGTCCAGCTTGGTAGCAAGTGTCTTTACAAGCTGAGTCAATTCACAGGCGCCTCCTCCTGACATATCTTTAAATATAGCAATTAATGAAAATAAGATCAAGTTCGTGGCATCCAGTATTCAACTGAGAATTGTTTTCTGACATTATACTGCAAGATTCTCTAACATGCAGAAAAATTGGAAACATTTTCCTATATGCATATACCATCTCACTTCTGCAATTCTTTTTCACTACACTGGATTTATAACAATACATATATCTAATATGCCTGTTCATTGGTGAACCTGTTATTTGTAAGTGCACTTCACAAGCTCAAACATGAGTAATTTTCTCCATGACATTTTATTTTGGAAGTAAAACTCACATGTAATGAAACACATTCTCTCTCTCTCTCTCTCTCTCTCTCTCTCTCTCTCTCTCTCTCTCTCTCCCTCCTTCTCTCTCTCATTCTTACTCTCTTGCTCTTGTTCCGTGTGTGTGTGTGTGTGTGTGTGTGTGTGTGTGTGTGTGTGTATGCATGCATATGAGTGAATGTGTGCATGTGCACATGTGTGTGCAGGTGGAGGCCAGAGGTCATTCCTCAGAAGCTGTCCGCCTTGGTTTTTGAGACAAAGTCTCTTACTGGGCCTCACCAATTAAGCTAAGTCGACTGATCAGCAAGTACAAAGGATCCACCTGTCTCTGCTCCCCCAGCACTGTGACTGCTTGCTCACACCGCTGTGTCCAGTGTCTTCTTATGTGGGTTCTGGTGAGAGAATTCAGGTCCTCCTATTTGTGCAGCAGTGCTTGATGACTGAGCTGGGACCCCACCACACAAATAACTCAAGTGTACCATCTGGAGAGTTCTGAAGAGTGCTCACACTCTACAACCCAAGCCTCTCTCGTGGCACCTGGAGCATTGATGCCACCCCCTAGAATGTTTCCACATGACCCCTTCCGGTAAACTCCTGAGCCAACAACCAAAGTGCAACCGCCACCCAGACTCCTCTCACCACGCATTAGTTTTGCTCCCATCAAAAGCTGGCCCGATGGGACCCAGAGCCTGTGTTCTGTTAAGTGGAGGCTCTCACTCATTAACCAACAAGATTACACCCAGACAGGTACAGTCTCCATTAGTGGTTGCTGCTGGCTTCCTAAGAAGTGTCACATCTACAAGATGACAAACGCAACCCCACATACAAATCAAGACTCTTGTGGGATAGTGCATCAGTCTGTCTTTTTCTTTCCTTAAGATTTATATATATTAATTATACGCAATAACGGGTTTCATTGTGCATTGTAATATAGGCATCTAAAGTATTTTAATAATATTCACGCTCATTACCCTCCCTCATTCCTCTCCACTCTTGGTGATTCTCTTACCAGTCTGTCCCTTTTGTATTTTCATCTGTTCTTTTAACCTATTGTTTTTGCCTTGACAATGAAGAGTTTGACCGCTAGATGGCAGGAGGAACTCATTGTATCATATCCACTTCAGTGCGTAGCTCACTCCCTGTTCGCCTATCTTGACATTTGATTAAAAACATAGGTGCAAACAACAATCAAGAGTGGCCATATTGATGACTAGAATTTATGCACGGGAAAACTAATAAGCAACTGAAGAAATCCACAGAGGAGGCTAATTACTAGATGAGAGATTCTTGAGTGTCTGTGCACCTGTTCGAGGGCTCTGGGCAGCTTCGGATGGAGGTATAGGGTGTGCTAGATGATGTGCCTCTGAGGACTGATTGTGGAGTGCTGACTGCAGTCACATAGTGATAGCTAACAGCGTTCAGACGAAGGACTTTCACATCTGCTTTAAATAAAATACTGTGAAAAGCCAGCGTATTGACTCCATCTCCACTGTCAAATTATGATTTAAATTCACAAGAAAGTAGACAAAGTGTGGAAGGCTTGCATCTGGACCATCATAAATAGCATTAGCCACATATAAAAATGATTGAAGAATTCAGAACACCCAGAGAGAAGTTAAGGGAAGGTGCCAGGGGCCAACTCATAATTTGTGGCATTGATAATAAGGTGTGCAATATAGGAAAGGTTACACTAATGTTAGCCACCAAGGAAAGCACTAATATGGAGGTTCTCAACCTTCCTGATGCTGGGGCTCCTTCACACAGTTCTTCATGTGATGGTGACCACCAAAAATAGTTAGTTTCGTTGCTACTTCGTAACTGTAATTTTGCTACTGTTATGAATCACAGTGTATACATCAGATACGCAGATAGTCTTAGGTGACCCCTGTAAAAGGGTCATTCGTGATCCACAGGTTGAGAACCACTACTAAACAGAGCAAGAACAGATTTAGGAGGCAAAACATCTTCCCAGGAGAAGAAACATGTGTTCTGGTTTGTTTTCTGTTGTGTGATAGACACTATGACCAAAAGCAACTTGGCAATAAGAACTCTCTTTCATCTACAGGACATCATCAATGGAGGAAACTCAAGGCCAGAGCTTAAAGCAGAAACCATAAAGGACCTCTGCTTATTGGGTTGCTCACAGGCTACCTTTATTATATAGCTCAGACCCAACTGCCTGGGGATAGGACCACCCACAGTGGACTGAACCCTTCTTCATCAATTAGCGATTAGGAAAATGCTCCCACAGATGTTCCTGAAGCCCGAACTGGTGGAGACAATTCTTCAATTGAAGTTCTTTCCCCCCAGATGTGTCAAATTGGCAACCAAGATTAACCATGCAAATGTGTGACAAACTGATTTTCCTTTATTGCATATCCTTTCACTGAATCATTCACATTGAAGGGTCAGAGGACAGTGAGATCAAGCCAGTGGCTTGTTAGTCAGACTTTGAAACTTGCACCATCTGTAGGTGCTCCAGGATTTCCATGTGAAAAGTTTATTTGGGGAAGTGCTTAGATAAACATTAAATAACAATAGCTCATGGTAGCCAAGTGCATCCTGAAACACCAGCTGATCTCTGTGAGGTTTTGAATCACATACTGCAATTAGCTGCTCACAACTCCAGTAAAACCAAGAGATTCTTAAAGTTACAGCATTTCTTGGGGGCTCCCCTATTGAGCCCTTCCTCACCTCACAGCCCACACAAAGCCTGTACCTACCCTAACACCCTCACATAGCCACTCCTGGATTCCCAGGTAGATATCCACATTTATTTTTCTTAACAAATAAATGTACTTAAGTAAAAAAGTGTGAAACAGTTTAATTGATTATTTGAGAATCTCACAGCATGCAACCCAATTGTGTTCACTTCCCATGTGGCCTCCCCCTTCAAAAAAAAGTCCATTTTGTGTTGTCCTATATTCACTGGAGCGTGGAGCATGATCAGATTCCTAGTACCCAGCCCACCAAAGGAGGGTGAGTCTTTATCCATCAGCTGAGGAGAGCTGTGTGGTTGGTGTCCAAGGGTTTTAGCTCTCCTGCACCCCTACACCCACACCACCACCTGCACCACAGTGCTGAGGGCTGGTGAAGGGTGGGGCCAGCTCTGCTGTGAGGGGCAGGACCAGCTCTCCTGCCGCCCACACACATTAGCATGGCTTCAGGTAGCAGCCCTAACCACAGGCATGGCCTTTGGTGGTAACACTGGCCACAGACATCAACACGGCTCTTGGCCATATCAGGACCACTGTCCCACTCACGGCCCTCAGCGGCTGATGACCATGAGCCTCAACACTGCCTTAGGTGGCGACACATGCCACTTACATCAGCATGGCTCCCCAAGGCAGCAAAGCCAAGGCATGGGGCAGCGACACAGACTGCAAACATCCACATGGATCTCAGGCTTCGTGGCGGTCCAGGCAGCAACATGGACCTCCGACACCAACATGCCCTCTGGTGGTATTGAGGACCATGGTGGTCCTTTGAGGAGGTCCAATCCAGGAAGTGAAACTTTCCCATCTCCGGCCTCCAACATTGCCCAGAGCCAGGGGAATCCCGCAGCCAGGTGGCAGGTTCAGGGCTGAGTCTGTGTCTGCATAAGTTCCCGGCTGTTGTGCACCATCCCACCAACCCTACCGGACAATGACAGCATGTCGACCTCAGCCTTCTCTCTCACCTGTCACCACCATCATGTCTCCAGGTCCACCTCTCCCTAGCAAGGGCACCACTCAGTTTTTCTGTCTTTGCTCTTCTCCATCAAGTATTTATTGTAGTGGTGCCTGCCTACCCCAGGCAGCAGGGGCCCCAGGCAGCACTCAGGTGTGTCCATCCACCTAGGCCACCTTTAAAACATTTTTAAAGTGGTAACACAATTAGCATAAATTATAGAAATGGCAGAAACATGAGGGGAATACACTAATGACAGAAAGTTTAAAAAAAATTACCTCCCAAAAGGAGCTCTTCTTAAAATCATATGGTCAATATTTTAAAGAAACTAATAGGTAATTACAATGCAAACTCTGGTCAAAGTTTTAAGTCCATGTATTTATTTCATATTCTCTCTCTCTCTCTCTCTCTCTCTCTCTCTCTCTCTCTCTCTCTCTCTCTCTCTCTCTCCTCTCTCTCTCTCTCTCTCTCTCTCTCTCTCTCTCTCTCTCTCTCTCTCTCTCTCTCTCTCTCTCTCACACACACACACACACACACACACACACACACACACACCCCTCTCTTTTTAGGAGGACAAATGCAGACATAATGTTTCACCAAGTCCATCATATTGAAGCATTCCATATTGGTGTCCTCTTTTCCAAGCTCTAACTAAAAATTAAGTGCATTATAACTAGGCCGGGGGCGGGGGGATGTAGCTCAGTTGTCTAGCACACAGTAAGTCTTGGGTTTGATCCCTGGTACCTCATAAACCAACCAGACCTGGTGGCACATGTTTGTCATCTCAGCACCTGGAAGGTGGAGGCAGGGGGATTGCATCCTCCACTATATAACGAAGTGAAGGCCAAGTCGGGAGACATGAGATTTTGTCAAATAAATAAACAAACAAACAAATGTTCTCCATTAAATGTTCTCTTTAACCCCAAGTGGTGACTGTGGGTCTTGGTGTATTGGTCATCTCAGGATGAAAGTCCCTTGTCAATGATCTACAAATCTATCAATCACTTGCAACAAGAGTTAAGATCACCTTAACATATGATAGTACAATGTCATTGACTTTGATTCCTTATGGGGACAATAAGCCCATATTGAAAGGCCAATGTGAGTGAATAACTGTTAAGTACTTAAATGAATATATGGGTGTATTAAGAACAGTCATAGTGTGGCAGGTGACTGAAGGTTGAAACATCAAGATTAACATATGATTTGTGTATTTTAATTTCAATTTTAAAATTAAAATATAATTACACCTTTTCCCCCTCCCTCTCTTCCCTCCAACCCCTCCCATCACACCTCTTATCCTGCGTCCTCTCAAATTCATGGCTTCTTTTTCTTTATTGCCACATATATAAACAGATAAATATATAAATACAATTTACTGAGTATGTTTAGTGTTACTTGAATGTATAGGATTTCAGCACTGACCATTTGATATTAGATAACCAATTAGGGGGCTCATTCCCGAGGAAGACTAATTCTTCTCTCATCAGTTGTTAAATGCCTGATGATCTATAGCTCTTTGTCTAGAGCTGGGAACCAGTGAGATTTCCCCCTTCCATGTTATCATATCTATGGTGTTATCGTTGTTCAGATCCTTTATGCAGACATATTGCTGAGGTATCATGGGTGTCGTTTCCCTGTCTTTCTAGGAGACATGATCTTGCAGCAGACTTTATAGTAATTTTTTTTTAAAGAATCACATGACATAAGCCAGGTTGCAGAAGACTGGAAGTCTTTTCTCACCTGGTCTTCATGTAATGAATAGAGCCAGCTCACAAAGAGCCTGCAAAACACGAAAGGGATGGACAGGCATTATGTAAGTGTTCAATAAAGGACTGCAAGCCTCTTGATCTGGTGTGTGAGGCTCCTTCCTTGGTTCACTAGCCCACTCCCATTGGATGCTTTTCCTTTCATGATACACCATCTGTTTCTATATCTAATCACATCTCCTCAATGCAGTCCTTTGTCCTTGGATACCATAGCCTGGAATTGGGTGCCCCTGAACTCAGATCTGGAGCTCAGCACGAAGCAGGTTTTTCCTTCTCCTTTTCTTTGTCTCTGTTTTGGATACTGGCCTAAAACCTAAGCATGCTTCCCAGACACCCTTTGTCAATGTTTTCGTGACTCTGCACCTGACTTAAAAAGCATAGTTTTGTTTGGTTTCATCTCCTCTCCTCCTGGCAGCTGCCAGGATTTGCAGCTTGCCTATCCTGTTGTTTTTCTCTCAAAATTGGCTGTGCTTGGGCTTCTTCAAATCTTTTTTAAAATTCTTTTATTAAAGAGACTGAGAATCCAGAAGGACATCTCAGTTCCCCATAACCAAAGGACCATTGAGCCTTCAGAAGATGTCTTTATCTCAGATATATCATTCTCCAGAGCAGTGAAAATAGTTAACTCAAGTGCAGATAGGCCAGCATGGCCAATCCAGATCAGAAAAGTTAGTAAATGTGTGCATGTGTGTGTTCTTTTGTGTGAAGGAAAATATCAAGGGCAGTAACTCTCAGTGTAACTTTGGTTGCATGAACAATGAGTCCATGAGGTGCTCATTGCTCAGGAAGGATGACTGACTGGCCTGTCTTCTTAAGCAAAGAGGTCCAACATGAAGGAAGTCAGCTGTGTGACCACCTCTCTCTTTTGTTAAATTTTTTAAAATTCATTTTACATACCAACCACAGATCCGCCTCTCATCCCTCCTCCTGCTCCCTCTCAGTCTTCCCTCCAGACCCCCCCATCCCCTCCTCCAAAGGGGTAAGGCCTCCTATGGGGAGTCAGCAAAGCCTAGTACATTTAGTTGAGGCAGGACCAAGCTCCTCCCCACTGCATCAAGGGTGAGCAAAGCATCCCACCATAGGTAGTGGACTCCAGAGAGCCAGTTCATGCACCAGGGATAGACCCTGATCCCACTGCCAGGGGCCCTTCAAACAGACCAAGCTACACAATTGTCTCCTGTATGCAGAGGGCTTAGTCCAGTCCCATGCAGGTTCCACAGTTGTCAGTCTAAAGTTCGTGAGTTCCTATGAGCTTGGTTTACTGTCTCTGTATATTTCTCCATCATGATCTTGACACCACCACCCCCCCACTGCTCATAGAATCCCTCTTCCCTCTCTTCCACTGGACTCCTGGAGCTGGGCCTGGTGTTTGGCTGTGGATCTCTGCATCTGTTTCCATCAGTTCCTGAATGAAGGCTCTATGATGACAGTTAGGGTATTCACCAATCTGCTTACCAGAGTAAGCCAGCTCAGGCACCCTCTCCACTATTGCTAGTAGTCTAGTCTGGGGTCATCCTTATGGGTTCCTGGGATTTTCCCTAGCACCAGAGTTCTCCCTTACCCCCATAATGTCTCCCTCTATCAAGATATCTTTTTCATTGCTCTTCCACTCTGTCCCTGCCCAACTCAATCATCCCATTCCCTCATGGTCTCAACCCCTATCCATGCCCTCTATTGCCCCCACCTCATCCCCAGTTTGCTCATGGAGATTTCATCTGTTTCCCCTTCTAAAAGTGATCCATGTGTGTGACCACCTCTTTTAGAAATGCCTTCATAGACAAGAATGTGAACAATGGAACTATCAATAGACATACTAACATGGAAGGAAGAAAGTCTCATAGGATCCCACACACAGACAAAGAGCTATAGGCAACTAGTGAATGCTGAGAGAGAATTAGCCTTGCCCAGGGATGAGTCGCCTGCTTGGTTATCCAATAGGGGGAGGTCAGCCCTGAAACCATACATACACAGCTCTGAAACCAAACAAGAAAAATAGATTTAGCAGGCTATATTTATGCATATAACGCAACAATAATGATCAAATAAAAAAGCTATCAAATTGAGAGTGATGAGGGCATTGGAAGAAGAAAGAGAGGGGGAAGTAATATAGTTATATTTTTATTCATTTTAGTTGAATAGAATTATATCAATTTCCTCTCCTCCTCCCTCCAGCCATTTCATGCCCCCACTGTCAGGTTGATAGCCTCTTTTTCTTCGATTGTTATTGTTAAAGATGTGTGTATGTATGTGCATGCACAAATACACACACACACACACACACACACACACACACACACACACACACACACACACACAACCTGCACTCTGTTTTTGTTTGTGTGCATGTTTGTGTGCATGTTTGTGTTTTCAAGGCTGACTATTCTGCATTGGACAATCAATAATGGGGCTCATCCCTGAAATGGGCTAATTCTCCTTTTCACAGCAGTCATTAGCTGCCTGTGGTTCTTTGACTAGGAGACGGACCCCATGAAATTTTCCCCCTTTCTCCATTAACTTGTGCATTGATATTACCTCTGTTCCAGTCTTGGTTTTGCAGCCATTCCTTGGAGACACTACTTCTAGCAGAATTCTTGCTGTTCGCGCTCTTACAATCCTTCTGCCCCTCTTCTTCTATGTTCCCCGAGCCATAGATGTAGGAGCTGTGATGGAGATGTATCCATTGGGGCTGTGCTCCCCACAATCCATTGATATTTGCCTTATATTCAGTTGTGATTTTTCTGTCACGGTCTCAGCTTGCTGCAGAGAGAAGCTTCTTTGATGAGGAATAATAGCTACACTTAGCTGTGGGTATAAGGATAAGAGTTAGAATTTAGATAAGGAATAATCCCATCTCTCTCATCTGCTGCAGTCCCTAGCTCCAAATCTTCAGATGTGAGTATATGAGTAACCACAGAAACCAGGAAAGTATAAAGGAACTCCATGTGTGTGTGTGTGTGTGTGTGTGTGTGTGTGTGTGTGTGTGTGTGTGTGTAGGGGAGTCAGGGGTTGAGGGGGAATAACAGAATATAGGTGATATGAAAGGGGAAAATCAGAGCAGAGGCTCTAATTGGGAAGACGAAGAAAGGACAAATAACACTGAGGTCATTTGATAACTGTGGGGGGGCAGCTCCCACAGTTATTTACCCCAAGTACTCTTGAGGAGTGAGGGATAAAAGAGTTAGATAGAAATATGGAGGAGAGAGACAGACAGAAAGAAACACAGGATAGCCTCGGGAGGGCCTGGGTCAAAACCCACCAGCCCCTTCTGTCTCTACTAAAGGGCTTTTAAAAGAATGCCAAGGGGTGGAGAAAAAGACCTCCCCCCAGCACAGCCAAGTGCAGAATAATCCCAAACACCTGGTGACCATGCGTGTGGTCAAGCCATCCCCTAATGCAGCCCTGCTGCGTGAAGCAAGCTCAGATCTCACCAGAAAACCTTGGTGGGCCTCTACAGATAATGCATCACAGTTTTAATGGTACTTCCTTGCTTGACTTCTGCTAGACACTATTTCATATTTTGTAATTAATTATGAAAACTTTTTAAATTTCAGTTCTGTTAATCTTAGAGATCTTCCCAGGAAACGTATTTGTAAAAAGTTTGCCTTTGTTGGTTCTTTCCTTTTCCTTTGACAGGATTTACTGGATCTGCCTCCTTGATCTC